TGCGAGTGTGCCCAAAACCAGCGGGAAAACGGACACGGCAGCTGCCCGGTGAAGATCCTGCTGGGAGAGGGGTGGATAACAAAGCACTTTGCTGGCTCAGCTGCAGCAGTTTCCTGCTTCAAGTAGGATAAACAGCCAACGTAGCACAAAGCCTCCGGCCGGTGCCACCAGCCCTGCGGGCACCCCCTCCCTCCCCTCCAGCCTGCGGGCACCGATGCGGCATTGCTCCCATCCCCGCTGCCTGCTGGTGCTGCTGCCGCCTGCACCCCGCGTTGCTGCCATGGGGGGATCTGCCAGCACCAGACCACCAGAGCAATAACCGGTGCCACACAGAGCCCTTCCCTGTCTGGGCTCGGAACCTGCCCCCCCCGGCCCCAGCCACAGGGCACAGGCTGCTTCTGTTCACCCATCTCCTGCTCTACACCCTTCCCAGCTCTGCCTCATCGCCCTCCTGTCCTGCGCACGGCAGGCCCTCTGCCCGGGATGGTGCCTGCAAGGGGGATGCTGCACGTCAGGGTTTTGGAAGAAAAGCCAGAGGCAGGAGAAGGACGATGGGGCCGTCTCCTGGGGCTGTGCATCGCCAGCCCTGCCAGATGCAGAGACAGCCTGACAAGGCACAGAGCCCTTTCTTAATCTCGCCTTCATTTTTCCCATGTCCTAAGTGCAGCTGGCCCCAGCCCTCTTGCTCTCTAGGAATCCAGTTACTCATCCACAAGCCCAGGAGGCAGCTCATGAGAGACAAGAGGCCCAATCCTGGGCACAGAGGAGCAAGGGAGGTTGCTCGGAGCAGAGTTAAACCCCTTAACATGGGTGAAACAACTCCCCATGGCCAGGCAGTCACTTTGCTGGGTGACCAACATGCAGCAGAAGTCTCAAAGCTCAGCAGAGCCCGGAGATAACTTCACCGTGTGCCAGCCCCTGCCCTCCGGACCATGCCACCGCAGCTATGTCTGGGGCCACGATGACCTGGTAGCTCCTTGGGAGATGTCCTGGCTCCCTCGACAGCCGCAAAACTACCCCAGAGAGCTGAATTTCCCCATGAGTGGGAGTTGCATCTCTCTAACCATTGCTGACACCAAGCCATATAGAACAACTGAAAGGAAAGAGGTTTAGAAATAAAGAGGTGCAAAGCCCAGGTGGGTCCTGGGATGGACACTGTGCCGGCGGGGACCGCACCTCCCATCCACGCCAACGTCTCCAAGAGTCCGGTTACAAGACAGAAGGGTTGGTTTGCCAGCACCCCAC